GACCAGAGTCACCGGAACGAATTAAGTTCGTAAACCGAGGTACCACTGTAATTGGTTACATTTCTATTAAAGGGGAGCGGGTAAATATGAGAGATTTAAAGTGTTTAGAATGAGTGTAGCTACTAACCACTGCCTGGAACAGAGGTTCAAATACTACTTATGCCATAAAATTTACAAAGGAAATGTCATAGCATATTATAAAACATGAAATAACACAAATTCAAGTAAGAACTCTCAATCTTTCCTTATGGATCAACATACCTATAAATAAGTCAAACAATAAGCTTTATCCTTTCAAAACAGGTTATACTTGTAATTACAATTTTGACTCAAGGTTTGCACAACTAAGATATAATAAGATTACTTTTTGTTCTTTATAAAAATTAGCGATGGGTTCCAATCTGAATCCTAATTCCTTTTCTGTTAATATTCTAGATCACATTGCTCATCAATCCAAAAACTGGACAATAATGATGGAAATTATAGCTTACCAACAATTTGGTGGGAATACAGCCAGGGAAAAAATGACATATATAATTATATTTGATCATTACTCATTACTCATTAATTCAGCATCTGGACTTAACTTTCATAACTCAGCTGAACCTATTTTCTATTAACAGAAAATCCACCAGTATAAATATCATCTTACACATATGAAAAGTAACTGAATGAGCAACATGATCTGGATTTGTAATGCAAAACTAATTTAAACAGGTTTTTTTTAAATCAGATAGCCTGATTCTCTCACATAGTTTGGTCTGCACCTATCACTGTATTTACATAATTTATTAATTTCAAAACAAGAGCTAAGATTCAGAACTAAAAGGACAAAATAACTGAGGCAAGGACTTTAATGTATAACCCTGATATCTTGAAGCATTTGTCTTTGTCAAGCCTAAAAATGACTGGAAGATTCATAGGTCTGGGTTTAAAACAGCAGGAATATAACCATTCCCTTATGTTCAAGGATGATCTAAAAGTGTAGTGACCTTCCTGGCAACGCTTTTAAAAGTGAAATGTTTCAAAAATAGTTTGTAAAAAGTGGGTTTGGAGATCTGTTGTTAATTTCTAAATCCCGTAGTGTCACAATCAGGTCTTTGGATCATAGTTTTTTCCCCAATATGGCCTCCAATATCCGTATTAATAAAAAAATGTAACAGTAAGGGGGACTACTATGATGCAAAAGAAACCAACCTGTTCTATTTCTGGTCATCCTCCTTATGCCAATGAAGACCCTTTTAAGAAAAGCAAGCACTAAAAACGCTCCAGTGATTTACTTTCTGAAAACAGTAACTTATGGAACTTTCCAAACTGTTTAATTGTATTAATTTCAGCTCACAGCAGACAGTCACATTGCCTTCACTATTCAAACCCTCCAGTGATCTCACTAGAAAGATATCAAATTACCACACACATATTCTGTCAAACATTATTTACATCGTTTTTTAAAATATTCAGATCAAGCCAAAGGTGAATGTGTTCAATTTATTTCCAGCACATAATCCCCCCCACTTGAAACACGCAAAAAAAAAAAAAGTTTAATTAAATGAGAAAGAACACCTAAAGTGTTTAGAACAAGATACTGATAATTCATGGCTTGCATTTTGATTTCTTAAAAATTAAGACTATACAATAAATAGGTGCAATCTACTGAGGCTATCCCACGAGTCACAGAAAAAAGTGTGTTCCCTTAGGGCATTAGGTAGAGGGATCAACTTCTGCATGCTTTGCCTTACAGGTGTAGAATCACAGCAGATCTTGCCATTCTACTGTGTTCTCAATTCTGCTTCAAAGTGCTAGTTCTGAATGAGGTTGGTATGCATAGGCATATCAGATCCTGTGCCTGTCAAGGTCAGAAGCACAGAAGCCAAGGAATTCTCCTGCTGATAAACAAATGGCTCTCAACCCATTACAATGTAAGGGTGGGAGAAAGAGATATAGCATTTGAACATGAGGCCTACTATATATGATGCCTAGAGTTTACATTAGTTGGTTTTCTTTCCTATTAGGAACTTTTATAGTATCTGCAATTAAAGAAAATCTTATCAGAATATTGAATCTCTGGCTGAAAGTGTTCTAGTTGAAGGGTTACTCTGGGAGAAACCTCATAAATCCCATGGTAGGAGTCTTTAAATAAAGCTGGCAAGTATCTATCTGTGTTTGCTGATAGCCCATCCCATCTTCTGTGCACTCTGCTTCTTCACAGCTATGCTCCAAACATTTCCAGCCCACTCTCCTTATCTACTCAACTTTCAATTTTTATTTCTGCAGTTCCACTGCCAATGTGGGGGCCAGCAGAAGAGATTACACAGTCCTGAGAAAAGAGGGAAGCATGACAAAGAAACTCAAAATAAGCCCACCTTTATTTTGTTTAGCATAAGAGGGGACAGAGAGAAACGTGGACAGGCTTTCAATATTCTTATTATTTTATCTTACTATAATAAAGAGTATTTGTGGAATCCCTGCTGGGTCTGTTTCTCAACCTGGCCTACCCCAAAGGACTGACACCTGCCTAAAGGCTCAGATTGTAGAACGGAATCTGAAAAGGATTTAAGCCCTTCCATGCATATAGGTTTAGTTCAACAGCCAACAGCTCAGAGAGGAGTCCTCTCTTCCACAGCCAGAATCATACAAAAATGGTAAGGGTTACTTACTAAGCCATCTGAAGTTAGTTAATTTTGGTCAATGACCAGATAAGATCTGAAGTTTAACAGGGCCACCTCAGAGGCAGAAAATGTTGTTGGAGTTAGCGCTTCAGCCTCTCTGGTTTTGTGCTCATCTATCCAGAAATCTGCCTCATCTCTCTATACATGGAGATTAAATCAGGAAGCAAAACAGCATCTATGAAGAGGGAAGGACAAAAAGCCCTGTGGACTTTGTATTACCCAACCTTGTATTACCCAACCCACCTAAAATGAGTAGATGTGGCTAGAACTGGGAATATCCCTCTTCCTGTGGCTGACTGAATTTCTCTCTCCTTTCCATTTAGTGTAATCACAAGGAATGTTTTGTGTATGCCTGCCTCATACCTAACCTTGAGACCAACTCATACAACATTTATCCAAATTTTCAATGTATTATTGTGGTAGAAACAATTTTTCTACCTTCCACTCCACATTCTCCATCACTAAATTTGACTTAATCAGGACTGGAGATTGGATTTCTACATACTGTCACGAATAAACACATACATACACTCAGCCTTCTTTCAGGTTTGTAACATTAGTCTCAATAAAACTAGCAAGGACAGTAGATGAACTAGCAGGTGTGTAGGCAGGCTAGCCTAATACTGAAATCAAAATTAGGAATAAGGTACCCAAGTAGCTTACAGGTATGGGATAACAGACTTATTGCTATGAAAACAGCTAGGCCTTCCATTGTACTTTCCTTGTTTCACACTTCAAAAAGCTGTCATTTCCTTATTTTGAATAAACTCAGATAACAGTTTACATTTCACCCAGAAACACACTGGCACAATTGTACAAGTGCAACATTCAACATTCAAATGCAGGCAGCAAACAGATAAGTGTAAAAAACTTCTGAAAGGATAGCACAGTTCTCCAGGTCTAGTATTTGGCACTGAAAAGTCTCCTAAAAAAAAAAAAATAGAGCCGTTTAAGAGAATATAGTCTTGAAAGCAAAGAAAGGCTTTTACTCCTCTGTTTGTTTTGTTTTGATTTCATGAGAGCTACCTGAAAACTAACAGAGGCATTTGAGATAGAAGGAATAGGTGGTTAAATACCAAGCAGTGTGGGAGAGAATGCCAAGAGCAATTTGCATTTCAATAGTTTCTTTTGTGTGACCACCATTCCTAAAGCATTTTGCAAAGTGATAAATGTCATAACCACATAAGAGACATTAGAATACACCAAGTCAGCAGCCCTTCTTCCTGCATCTGGACACGGCACCCACACCCACTCCACTTGACACACAGCAAAACCTGTGAACATGAGGGTCAATTAATCTCTGCTGGCTAGAAAACCCAAAAGGGTAGAATGGGGCCATTCCATTCTCCCCCCCCCCCCAAAAAGCAGCTAACTGGGACCCTGCAAAAAGCACCTTTTCAAGTTGCAACTAAACAGTAGTACATTCTCCCTCTGTAGTCTTGGGTCTCTGTTCTACAAATTCCTCATCTTCTCATGAAGACTTTGCCTTAACCCCTCCATCCCCTTGTTAAATCACAATGAAGCCCAAATCTTGAAATTCACGTATAACTCTCATGCTTCCTTTTCCGTCACTCTACCTCTTCCTTTCTTTAGCTAAATTTCCCCCCTTCCTCTCCTATTCCATTTAGGCAGTGTGTTTTTTTGTGGGGAGCTCAGATACGTGCCTCTACGTTTCCTTATAAAACCCTTTAAAACCCAGTGTACACTTGGTGGAGCACTAAGAACAAAGCAGGTGCACCAATGCCATCTCCAGCTCACGAAGGGCCTTCCCTTCCCATGAATGCTGGCTAATCAGCAAGCCTCCTTCTTTAAGAAAACCTTCTGCGTTCAGGCCTCCACATGCTCTGTTTCACCAACACATGCACTCTCTCCAAGCTCTCACACACATAGCAAGAGCAGCTTCACAACTATCCTCCAGGGGTCACACTTGGGTTACATATTCTAGACCACCCGACGACTGAACAGCCTGATTCAGAACCATTTATTCACTTCCTTCTTCATTAAGATTCAAATGGAATAAGCAGTGTAGAAATTGAACAGATACAGAAAATGTGCTCCTGTAGTCAGTAAACATTTATTCACTGAGCAGAGATCTCTTCTGCTCTATCCCCTCTCAGATTCTCTCCGTTTTCTCTATCCTTACTGCTTGCTGTTTTAATGCATAATTAAGAAGGTCAGAATTAATGAAGCAGTGTGGAGTAAAGTTCAAGGAATCCCCAGGCGCTATTTATTCTATTAGATCTCAGGCGTGAATGTCAGATTGGCAGTGTTAAAGGCAGAGGCAGTGAAGCTGGCAGCATCCCAGAAGCAGAACTACCAAGGGAGACTTACCTTTAGTGTCAAGTCATTGCTGAGCTCCTTCCCTGCAAAAATCACACGTAACTGGTCAGCTGGAACTCCCTGTCGCTTAGCAACCGCCTCCTTGAGCTGGAAGATGCTGGTGTCTGAATCAACCTCCATTGGGAAACCATGGCTGGAGTTGAACCTGACAAACACTGACCAAGAACAAGACATTAAAAAAAAAAAAATCCTGAGTGTTTTGAAGTCTGATACATCTGGGAATGACAAAAAGAGACAGCAATTTCTGAAACATGGACCACAGCACAATGGTACTGTAAAACTTTAGTTTGTTTTATCATTTTAGAAGGAAGCATATTATGGTTTTATGATTTGGAAAGGCGATTCCAAGTAAGAATCCCTATCATGTTATTGTCTTAACTAAATTAAACATGCTTTATGGTCCAAAAAGGACCTAAAATTACATTTCCATGAGGAATGAACAGACAGTTTTCATCTGCAATCTGAAGACTAACAGCAGCTAATTTCCTCTTATTCTAAATCCTTTCAGGAGACCAGAATGTATATAATGGAAATGATGTATACATCTCTCCCTTCACACACATTCATACATGTATTAGCCTTATTCAAGAATAAGAAAGCTTTAAAAAATTGAAAGAAAATTGAAAGAAAGCTTTAAAAAATACAGAAATGTCAGTTCATACACACCGGCCTCCCAGAGATTCAATTGTCTAAAAAATAATGATGGAGAGGAAATTATATGCTGCCTGCAGCACGTCTTTTCTGGTCTTTCTTAGAATTCTTAAAATAACTACAGCAAGTAACTCCTGTTAATATAGTTGTGTGTTGCCAAAAATGATTGCCAAACACATTGGAATAGCACTTGGTCAAGACATACGTTAATGCCTGGCAAATAAAACTATTTCACATATGTACAAGGGAAGATCAGATAGGTTTTTCATGATTAAGCAATAGTATAACTTACATAAAGCTGTATTATATTCTTTATATTTAGATGTCATTGCTAGGAGTTTTGGCAGCACATGCAGTTCTACCTTATTTGTGTGTGTGTGTGTGTGTGTGTGCGCGTGCCTTCGAGTCAGTGTTGACTCCTGGTGACTGCCTGGACTAGTCCCTGCAGTTTTCTTGGCAAGATTTCAGAAGTGGCTTCCCACTGCCTGCTTCTTAGGGCTTAAAGATAGTGACTGGCCCGAGGTCACCCAGCTGGCTTTGCGCTTAATGCAGGACTAGAACTCTCGGTCTCCCGGTTTCTAGCCTGATGCCTTAACCAATACACCAAACTGGCTCTCTTCTACATTATTTAGCTCTACTTTAAGGACTGGCAGATGATATATGTTGAAAATGTTTCTAAAAATCCCAATCAATATACTATGGTATCTGCAAGGGTGGGGGGTTGTGGAGGGTATAGGGAACGGCGTTGAAGGACAGGAAAAAGAGCCACTACTAAGGCAATGATCAGGGGAAGTGAGGCTTGAGCCCAGACCAAGATAATAACTTGTGGAAACGCCTCAGACAAGCCCCTCCCTAGTTCAAACTAAGATATAGGGAGGGAGCGGGAAGCACATTCAGAGTCTATTATTATAAATGTTCCAATAAAAGTACTGGTAGTCCTCTTTTAGTGAGGACTAGGACAGTGACCATTCACTGTTATGATGGTGATGAAAAAGGAACTTTGTGACCAGTTCTCAAAATTTCTATCCCTGTAAATTACCATATAACCCCATGGCAGACAAATGGGGGAATATGCCATAGGTGCTCTCAGGGAAAAAGACTGCAGTGGTAGGGCTTCTCTTTTCACAAAACGACTGCCATGGTGACTATGGGCAGTAGTAGTAAAATACTGTTTAATCTGGTGAGGTTGCTTTCTGCTGCCCTTTCCGCCTTCCATACATTCTTTACCACCCCAACTTATTTTCAGACTAGGCACCAGAGTCCCATAGACATATTTTTAAGAATGTCTATGGGATCTATGGGCATTCTTGGAAATAAAGGGGATAGCAGAATTTCCTACTTTGCTTTGCAGCATGCCCACTTCCTTTTTATAAAGAAGGAAGGAAGGAAGGAAGGAAGGAAGGAAGGAAGGAAGGAAGGAAGGAAGGAAGGAACCGGATGAGGCCAAAGGACGGGTTTGTGGATTCCTGCTTGTCTAGCCCTGATATAAACAACTTAATACAGTCATTTCTTATAGGTCAGCTGCAACTGACATTGTTGTTAAAGGTAGTAAGAGATATTTTCTCCTTGACTTCAGTTCAAAGACAGTTCCTAGAGCACAGCTGAAGATTTTCCACATTTCAAAGAAAGCTGTCCCTTGTGAATTTTCATAGTTCGACCTGCCACAGTCTTCCCTGTGGCAGTAATTAAAAAAAAAAAAGTACCACATCTTTATCTGTTATAAGCCTCATACCCAAATAACAGGAATTCCTTAAGGAACAAATTCTTCAGAAGTGATTTAGATGCTAAGTCCACCGCTCCACAAAACAGCCTGAAGCCCTTTTTGCCATGTTACATTATATGACATGACCTGTTTATTGAAAGCAGTATACAAATACTGCTGCACAATATGCTACACAGAAAGCCACAAATTCAAGGGAAAAAAACCCACACATTTAAAATCATCACATACAGGTAGTCCTTGCTTAACAGTAATTCATTTAGTGATGGTTCGAAGTTACAGCAGTGCTGAAAAAATGGACTTATGACCAGTCTTTGAAGTTGCTGCCATTGCAGTGTCCCCACAGTCATGTGATTGCCCTTTGGGTGCTTGGCAACCATCACACATTTATGACAGTTGCAGCATCCTGAAGTCACATAATTGCCATTTGCAACCTTCCCAGCTGGCTTTCGGCAAGCAAAGTCAATGGGGAAGCCAGTGGGAGGACGCAAGTCATGGTCACGTGATGTCTCACTTAATGATCATGCATAATTTGCTTAATGACCAGAACCGGAAGTGACAGAACTGCTGTCATAAGTTGGTGCGGTCACGTGATATTCCACTTTAAGATTGTATTGCTCAGCCACGGAGTTGCCAGTCCGAGTTAGGGTTGTTAAGCGAGGACTATCTGTAGTTGAAATATTGCCCTTATACACCCTAATGATTGTCTGGGTTACTTTAAAAGCACCACATTATACTTCTGTAAAGCTATTACCTGGTTTAAAAAAAAAACTCCACTGATACGGAAATTAAAAATCCTCAAAGTGTTAGTTGGCCTCATTCAATAACTTCCAAAGCTCTCATTCTGAAAAGAAAGAATTGCTACTCTAGGATTTTATTATAATTGATGTCAGAGGTCCATATTTATTAACATCCATTAAAACAGAAAATAAATTCTAATAATGCATTCTGAAATGCCTATTGAAAATTTCAACTGTATCATATAAACATGACATGCCTTATACTATATGATCAACAATAGGAATGATCAATATCACAATAGCAGCTGCAGTACACAAAAAGACATTTCAGTGGCATGAGGATTTTTCATCTAAGTCATTATCCAATAGGTTTAATAGGAGTGAGCTGGAAAAGACTATAGAAAGACCTTGATGTCTCAAGAAAAACTGCATTCTGCCTGCAATTAATTTCTACAGCCCTGTTAGGGTATCTGATCTCCCCATACTCTTTTGAGGAGAGGTGAAAAACATGTCCTATAAGTTTTAATAAAATGTGAGAATGGAGATTGTTGTGCATACAGTAAGGATGTTGGGTATAAAGGTTGGTGCCTGGTTTCACCAAGACTTATACTATAACTAGAAGACATGCAGGCAGAGATTCAAGGACACAGTTCTTGATATGACAAAAGCTGTTAGCATGAAGAGAACCAGCAACTGCAAACTGAAAGATTCAAGATATGTATATAGCAGATCCAAGGTTCAAATCTTATCTCTTTCTCCCATTAATGGATTAAGAGTCATTCATTTGGGGGCAGGACAAGCAGTTGACACCTATGCCTTTTTATTGTAATGGACTGGTCTTGTCTCAAGCCCTTTGCTTCTGACCTTGCCCAATTTAGCTAATGTGGGAACCACCAATTCTCAGGATGGAGATGGCAATTATATAAGCATATCACAACCTCCCAACTTCAAGGTTACTAGGCACTGTACCAGATTTGGAAGGGAGGTAGGAAAAATACTTGAATATAAACTCTTGAGAATATATAAAACTCCCTGACACCTGTGCACTGCAGCAGGCAATCAAGTGTTTGGCTACATTTTCGTCCATGTTAAAAGTTCCAATCCAGAAAATCCATGCCTATCAAGTCAAGCCAAGAAGTTGAGCTAAGGGTGAACTGTTGGGCGAGTGATGATTTACCTCTGAGGGCTCCTGTGAAACATGACACCGAGGACTTTCCCTTTCAAGCTGGATGTACAAGGGAGCTGGAACTGGTTTCTAAAATTTATTTTGCCTAACTTCTGGCTTTTGATGGTCTCTGAAATGTACTTATTAACAGGCTTAGATATGGACCATCTTGGATTTTCTTGAGGAAAAAAAATGAAAACCATAAACAAATTATGCAGAATATATAATCAATCTGTAGGGTAGATGAATGGCTATAGCAACAACAATCAGCATTTCCAGAAGTGGCAAAGTGATGCTTCAAAAATACTTCAAAAGTTATATAAATTAGTAGGAAAGAGTGACATTATGACTGTCATTCTTGCAAATAACACTCAGCTTAGTAATAAACATTTTAAGTATATATAATGACTTATCAGCTGAAAATAATCAAAAAGTCATAAAGTGTGAGGAAGAATGTTTCACACTTTACATACAAATCAATGCACAAAATCCAAACGAGACTGAATTGCAGTCAGACAGCAGAACAATGTATCACATGGAGATGGCTTGCTATTACTCAAGAAAATGAACCATACCACTAAATACAGAATAATGCAAACCAATATCCCTGAAATTCAGCAGCCAATCTGATATATGGAGGAATATGTTGTGTTATCTCAATTCCCCAAGAGCAATGACATTCTGCACAGAATAACTACCAAAAATAAGCCAAGCAGAGAAGTCACATTCATTTTTTTCCTGCAAATTACATAAATATGTTGAAATATACAGTTTGTTCAGAAAGAAGAACAACAAAAAGGGAGGGAGGGAGGGAGGGAGGATAAGTTGCACTTTATGTTAAAAGTATCTTCTCCTGTTTAGAAATCCAAGCAAACGAACTTGGCAAATCTATTAGCAGTGGTTCTTAAATTGTTTGATGCAATTACCCCCTTTTCTGGCCTCAAATAATGTTATAACTCTCACCAGAAACAACAAGAACAACAATGAGAACAACAACAACCCCACCAGACCCTGTTGTTTTGCACAAGTGTCTCAGGACTGGCAGTCCCAAACTGGATCCTCAACTCACGAACAAGCAATTATGACTTGATCCATTACCCCCAGGATAGGCCCAAATTACCCCCTTGGTATTATCTCCAGTTTAAGAACCATTGGTCTAAGAAAGCATCTGGGCTAAAATAAATGGAAGAAAAAATAAAAGCAATATTATTGTTTGCATCTCCTATTGCTCATTTAGCTAAGGAGAAGAGACCAGCAATGGTTCCCCAAAGCTAACTTTAAATTTTTCACAGAGGCATGAAGTAGTAGCAACAGAAAGTTACATATACAGTAAGCGGTAAAAGAGCACAATATCAGCAGGGAAGGCTTCATACAGGTAGCTTAGAACTGCACAGAAAAGCTAAAGCTTAAAATGAGTTGTGATTAGCAAAAGAAGCTTAGAACAAGAAAAGGCACTTCTTTAGATATCTTCAAAATAAAAGAGAGCAAAAAATAATCCATGTACCAGCTATCAATGAAGATGACGAAATATTAACAGGTAAATGATAAAAGGCAAAGCTATGGAACTCTTGTTTTGTCTCAAGCTTCTCCAACAAGAAGGTATGTGTTCCACAAGAAAATTGTGAAGAGCAGCACGAACAGTCAGAGCTGAAGCCTGAGACTGATAGAAGCATGGTCAGGCAATACCCATTTACTCTGAATGAA